CATGTTTTGTTAACATTTTTCACATCTTTCAGTGTCCTGCTTCTGTACCAGCATTAAGCCATTTAGCATAAAATAAGCTGGGATAGCGCATCTCCATCTCCCCAACTCCAGACTAACAGGAACATGTCCATGTTTTTCTTGCTCTTCAATGCACTATTTCAATGCAATTTTTTTTAGTTTTCTCTTGTTCTAACAGTTGTGGATATATTTTGAAGAATCTTAAGTGTGGTTGTGTCAAAGTTTCATCTACATGCTAGGAATAAAAAGCATATTGATACACACACATACATTAAACATGTTTTGTAAATGTTCAGAAACCCACATGAGAAGAATCCTGGATTAACAAGAATTTTCGCAGCTGCAGGACCTATTCAGTGCAAAATCTGCACATGGTCCTTTCCCTGCAGAAAACAATATCTCTATATCTAAATACACTGTGTGTAGAAAGTGTTGTTTCTTATGTCAAAAATACTCTTGTGTATGTGTAAATCTTGCACGGAATAAGTCCTAAATTATGAAGAGATTTCAAAAGACATGTAGTTTTTAAAGATTTTCTTACTGTGGGAAGAAAATTGCCAAAAATTCCTTGTTATTTTCTTTGAAAAGAAAATTACTGAAGAAGTACATCCCTACTAAATGCAGTGCAGTTAGCAAGAGTAGATGCTGTTGAGAACTGCTTAAATATGAAGTGGTCTCATTTTTGTATAAAAAAATTGGATTCAGATCTATTTCTTCTTCTGGTAATACACTTCTTATTGTTGTTACATGCCTTTGAATCCATTCCAATGTATGTGACCACATTATAGGTGTCCCCCCCCCCCCCCCCCCCCCCCCCCCCGCCGCCGCCGCCTTGACACGATTGATTCTGAAAAAGTTTGCTATTGCCTTCTTCTCAGACTAAAGTAGTATGACTTGAACAAATTCATTCAAGTAGGTTTGGGCAACTGAGCAAGGATTTGAGCCCTAGTCTCTTAGTCCTCGACCACCACTCAAAATGGAGCCCTGGGTGGTGCAATGGGTTAAACCCTTGTGCCAGCAGGACTGCTGACCGACAGGTTAGTGGTTTGAATCTGGGGAGAGTGGTGTGAGCTCCTGTCTCAGCTCTAACTTCCCATGCAGGGACATGAGGGAAGTCTCCCACAGGATGGTATAAACACCAAACATCCTGGCGTCCCCTGGGCAACGTCCTTGCAGACGGCCAATTTTCTCACACCAGAAGTGACTTACAGTTTCTCACTCCTGACATGAAAAAAGCATTCAAAATGTTACATTACACCAGCTTTAACCAGTCCCTATCTGCCATTTATACTTAGTCATTGTTGTTGCTGCAACACAAAGGGTCTCTTGTCACCTGACAAACTAATCTGGGATGCAGGAAGTATGACAAAAGCTCTACTACAATCCATCTCACTAGACCGCTGCATGCTAAGCTTTGTTGCAAACAGTATATATGTGCATATGCTTCATTGGGTGGAGAAATTGGAAGTAGTGAAGTCAGAGGGAAATACAATACAAAAAGTTCTTAAGACGATTCTGACCTTGGATGCATGGGAATAAGAACTGCAACCATTCACAGCAATTGTGGCATAATGAAAAGGATAAAAAACATCAAAGCCAGAATCAATAGAGTTCAAGGAATGTTGGTGGGGAGCATACATAAGAGTTATTTCCTTCTCATATACTCCATTCTCATTGTGCCACACATCCAAACCAGGCTATCTTTTTTAGCTTTTTGCAATACAAAGCAGATGGAGACAAGTGTGGGGTTACACCTGAGCTTCCTTACATGTCTGAAGAGAAGACATTTGATATTCAAAATTACACTTGGCTGGGTGTGTGTAGTGTTAGGTATCTGTATGTTGGGGATCGTGTTCCTTCCTCTTCTGTTACTTAATTTTGCTCCATAAAAGTTTGACACAGAAAGCAGAAACACGACTCCACCTATTTAAAAAGGAAACGACATGACATGATGATACTAAGGACTATTTATTAATGATCATAAATGATCTGAGGTGCCACCTGCAGCTTTGTAACACTCTGCATTATCCTTAAACAAACTAACAAACAAAGGAAAGAGAGAGGGAAGCAACTCCCTGAACATGATGTCTTCTATCCAGTCAGTGTCAGGTACTCATTTGTTTTGCTAAGAGGAATCAAATACAAATGGATCATCCTTTATCTGAAAGACTTGTGACCAGAAGTGTTTTAGAATACCAGAATTTGCAAAGACAAATATGAGCTATCCCGGAAATGGGACCCAAGTCTAAATACGAAATTCATTTATGTTTCATACAGACGTCAGATAACCTGAAGGTAATTTTATACACAATACAGGCATTCCCCAAGTTATGATCAAGGAAATGGTTTCTGTAGGCTTGTTCTTAAGTTAAATTTGTGTGTAGGTCGGAACAGGTACATTTTAAAGTGTAACTCCAGCCGTATATATAGGGGGGGGGGGAAGCTTTGGATAGCATAGAAACGGGAGAACATCCCTGTGGTGTTTGTTTTGCTGTCTGTGACCTCTTCAGAAGATTACCCTTCATTTTGTCCCTGTGAGAACTAGATTTTGAAAAAGTTGGCTTGTTGTGGAAACAAGGACTGACGAGAAAGTTTCAGTGGAGACACCTTTTTTCTCATGATAATCACTCTTTCAGGGGTGGATTTCCCTTCTGAGTGCCAGACTTCTCACACTTCCTCTTGTTTCAGCCCCATTTGTAACTATGAGTTATTTCTAAGTCAGATGTTTGTAACTTGGGGACTGCCTGGACAATGGTTTTTGTTAACCTGCACTGGGGATTGGTAAGCATGGGATAAATGTAGTTTCTGGTTGCTTGAGAGTTACTACTGAAATAGGCTTAATAGTATACCATACCATAAACTGCATTGACACGATATCCATATTGAAATACAGTGTACAGTTCTATGTATTACGGAAACAGAATTGTGAATGCAGTATTAATTTTTGAAACCTTTTTGTTGCTCATTGCTTGAGACTGCAGAAGGCCAGCTTGCTCGAGTTCTATTTAACTGAGGTCCCTTCCATACAGTTGAACAGAATCCCACATTATCTGATTTGAACTGAAAATGGATATTGTGGATTACCTGCCTTGGTATTTTGGGTTATAGGGCTGTGTGCCCAGAGTCTTAGTCCCTTCCACACAGCTGAAGAAAATCCCACATCTGTTTTGAACTGGAAAATGTGGCAGTGTGGAGTCAGATAACCCAGTTCAAAACATTGCCCCTGGTGGTGCAATGGATTAAACCCTTGCGTCGGCCGGACTGCTGACCAACAAGTCAGCGGTTTGAATCCATGGAGAGTGGAGTTGAGTTCCCTCTGTCAGCTCCAGCTCCTCATGCAGGGGCATGAGAGAAGCTTCCCATTAGGGTAGTATTTATTTATTGTAACAGAAGCGAACCAAGGGTAAAATTGTATTGCATTTAAAAAACTTGGTATTACACTAAATGTCCTTTGATGAGTAGCTGGCCATTTGGAGTGCCTCTGCTGTTGCTATAAGAAGGTCCGCCACTGTGTATGTGGAAGGATGGTAAAACATCAAACATCCGGGCGTCCCCTGGGCAACGTCCTTGCAGACTGCCCATTCTCTCACACCAGAAGCGACTTGCAGTTTTTCAAGTCACTCCTGACACACAAAAAAGAAAAAGAAGAAACATTGTGCCTTGATATTCTGGGTTATATGACTGAGTGGAAGAACCCTGAGAGTTTATTGTAATTGACATCATGTTGTGCGTGTAACCAAGTTTGCATGGGTTGGACCACCAGAAAGCCAAGGCCCCGCTACTACCCCGGCTCCGTTGCAGTCCCCATCGCTCCAGGAGCCGGTCAGGAAAGCCAAGGAAGGGGCGCGCTTTCGACCCGAGGCCACCCCTCCCCCGCCAAAATAGCCCTCCTTGTGGACCATTTTGGAGTGTTTCAGTGTGGGAATCCCAGGCCAAGGGATGCTCCACTTGCACTGCGAAGAGGGGATGCTTCCTGGAGGCGCCATCCTCGCCTTTCTTCTGATGGCGTGCCCCAAAATTTTGCTCGGCTTCACTTCCGAAGGAAACGTTGAAACAGAGAAGTGGGAAAGGGAGAAGGAGGAGAAGGAGGGGGAGGAGGAGCACGTGCGCCCGGCGCCGCTGCTTTCCGCCTGGCCGAGCATCGCCGTGTTTACCCCGGGAAGCAACGGCATGTCGTGGACCTTTGCCTTCCGCCCCTCTGGCCTCCGCAGCTTCTCCTAGGACCCGATTTCGCAGGGAGGGAGGGGGGAAAAGGGGGGATCCTCGGGGAAAACCATTCGAAACCGGAGAAAGGGAAGCCGCGGCTTTGTCTAGTGCGGGACCCCGGCTCCGTTGCAGTCCCCATCGCTCCAGGAGCCGGTCAGGAAAGCCAAGGAAGGGGCGCGCTTTCGACCCGAGGCCACCCCTCCCCCGCCAAAACAGTGAAGGCTTGGAAGGTCGCTATTTCCAACAGTAGGGTCCTTTAAAGGAACGGCAGGAAGAGAGAGAGAGAGGCCTCTAAGGGACGGCGGGGAGGGGGGGGGAGGCTGGTTCCTCCAAGGCAGGCCAACAAAGGCGGGAAGAGGCGCCTTGCCTTCCTCTTCTTCTTCCTCCTCCTCCTCCTCCTCCTCAGCGCCCCCTCCTTTCTCCAGAGTCAGGGCTGCGGGGCTTTGCCGCAACGGGCGAAGGAGAGGGAACGAGAGAGAGAGCGAGCAAGCGAGGGCTCTTCTGTTGCGCGGCCTGCACTGCTCCCACCTTTCCTTTCCTCCCTCTGCGACCCCACCAGCAGCAGTGGCAGCGCGCGCTCTCTCGCTCTCTCTCGCGCGCTCCCCCTCTCTCTCTTTCTCCCCCTCCCTTTGCCCATCCACTTGCTCGGCTGCGCGCCTGCGCGAGCCCAGCGCCGGCTCTTCCCCGGCATCTCTTCCTCCTCCTCGGTGCGTTCCTTGCTCCTGCGCGCGCTCCCCTCCACCCCCTCCCCTCTTTCTCTCTCTCTATCGCTCTCTCTCTCTCATCTCTCTCTCTCCCCCTCCCCACCAGCAGCCCCGCTTGTCTTGCCTTCCTCCTCCATCCAGCCCTGGCGGTGGTGGCGGTGTCGGCGGGGATGGGCAGCGAGAGCGCGCGCAGGAGCAGCCCGGGCTCCGCCGCTCCCCGCTGCGCCCGCACTTGCTCTTCCTCCTCCTCCTCCTCCTCCTCCTCCTCTTCCCACTGCTGCTGCTGCTCCTCTTCTTGCCCCGCTGCCCCCAGGGCGGCGCCTCGGATGCGCTCCCGCCTTTTCCCGACGCGGACGGGTGAGTGAAGGGAGGAATGGCAAGGGAATTGGGGTTGAAGCAGGGGGTGGTGAAAGGGGGACGGAGGGGAGGGGGGGCTCCTCTCTCGGAGCACCTGCTGTGCTGGAAAGGGTGGTTTGTTTGGTACTCCTAAGGAGGTGGGGGTCACCGTTGTTTCCTCAGTTGTTTTCTCCCTCCTCCTCGCCTGCTGCTCCAGGGCAAGGTGCTGAATTCATCCCGCCTCCCCTACCAACCCTCAATAGAGGGGAAAGGAAAAGGAGGGAAGGGAGGAAAGAGGGGAGTTCTCTTTGGGATGGAAACCCCCATCCCCTCTAACCTCCCAAGTCCAATCCTCAGGGAGAGCTTGAGGGGAAAGGAAGGGGAGGCAAGGCACGGGCTTCTCTTTGGGGTGCAAACCACGGGCACCTCCAGCCTTGAAGGTCCACTCCTCAGGGACTGGCTGAGAGGATGTGAGTGAGAGAAGAAGGGGAAGCAGAGGAAGAGCCTGCCTCCCCTTCCAAGTCAGAGGCTGGTGGAGGGGAAGGAGGCAAGGAAGGGGCTTCTCTTTGAGATTGTAACCCCGGCCCCTCCAGCCTTGAAGAGCCAATCCTCAGAGATTGGGTGAGGGGATGTGGGTGAGAAGAAGGGGAAGCAGAGGATGAGCCTGCCTTCCCTTTGGGATGGAAACAAACTGGAAGAAAACAAAGAAGGGGCTTCTAGGTTGCTGAGAGTTTTCCGGGCTGTATGGCCATGCTCCAGAAGCATTCTCTCCTGGCACTTCGCCCGCATCTATGGAAAGCATCCTCAGAGGTTGTGAGGTCTGTTGGAAATTAGGCAAGTGGGGTTTATATATCTGGGATGTCCAGGGTGGGAGAAAGGGTGTGTGTCCAGGGTGTGTGTTTGAGGCAGGTGTGAATGTTGTAACTGGCCACCTTGATTATTAGCATTGAATAGCCTTGCAGCTTCAAAGCCTGATTGCTTCCTGTGGCTTCTCTTTGGGACAGGGACCGCCTGCACCCCCAGCCTCAGAAGTCCCATCAACCAACAGCACATCCAACAGCACATCCAGCATTAGAAGTCCATTCCTCAGGGATTGGGTGAGGGGAAAGCAAGGGGAAGGAAGGAGAGAGGGAAAGAGGGAGGGGGTTGTCTTTGGGATGGAACCAACCAACAGCTCAAGCGTCAAAAGTCCAATCCGTTGGGGCTGGTTAAGGAAAAAGGAAAGGGAAAGAGAATGGAACCAACCAGCAGCTCCAGCCTCGAAAGTCCAATCCTCAGGGACTGGTTAAGAAAAAAGGGAAAGGAGGTCTTCTCTTTAGGATGGAAACAAACAGCAGCTCCAGCCTCGAAAGCCCAATCCTTAGGGTCTGGTTGAGGAAAAAGGAAAGGGAAGGGGAGATGTTCTATGTATTGTCGAAGGCTTTCATGGCCGGAATCACTGGGTTGTTGTAGGTTTTTTCGAGCTATATGGCCATGTTCTAGAGGTGGGGTTTCGCCTGCATTTGGTAAGCATCCTCAGAGGTAGTGAGGTCTGTTGGAACTAGGAAAAGGGGGTTTATATATCTGTGGAATGACCAGGGTGGGACAAAGGACTCTTGTCTGTTGGGGCTAGGTGTGAACATTTCAACTGACCACCTTGATTAGCATTTGATGGCCTAGCAGTGCCTGGGGCAATCTTTTGTTGAGAGGTGATTAGATGTCCCAGATTGTCCCAGTCCAACCCTTAGGGACTGGTTGAGGAAAAAAGGAAAGGGGATGAGAGGTCTTATCTTTGGGATGGAAACAACCAGCAGCTCCAGCCTCGAAAGCTCAATCCTTAGAGTCTGGTTGAGGAAAAAGGGAAGAGAAAGAGGGGTCCTCTCATTGGGAAGGAAACAAGCAGCAGCCCCTGCCTCGAAAGTTCAATCCTCAGGGACTAGTTATGGGGAAGAGAAAGAGAGGTTTTCTCTTTGGGATGGAAACCACCAGCAACATTAAGGACTGATTGAGGGCAGAGAAAGGGGAAGAAGGAGAAGGGGGCTTCTCCCTGGGATGGAAGCCAACCCACTCGTGCATGCCTTTGTCCAGCTGCCCTTTTTGAAAAGGCCCCGTTCACGCTCGTGTCCCGCTGGCGCCCCTCCTCTCTCTCCCCCCCCAATCCAGCACTCTCCCTTCCCTCCCTCCCTCCCTCCCTCTCCCCAATCCCACAAGGGCCACTCGAGCGGCATTCCCACACCAGCACCCATCTCCCGCGCCCCTTTGGCGTCCTCTGCTCAGAGAAGAGAGACAAACCGTTCCTCGCGTCCTTTGACCCACACACAGTTCCATCGCGGCTGCTTTTTTTTCAAACCGCTGGAGGGAGAAAAAACTTTGTAGAGAGGTCCTTTGATTTGGCCTTTTGAAGTCGGGGAGGAGGGGGAAGGAGAGGCCGCGGTCTCCGCTCCACAACCCCTGGTGTCCTTGGAGGCGTCTCCCCTTTCCTTCCCCCCAACCCTCCTCCTTTCCGCCTCACAATGAAGCCTTTACAGAGATCCCTTGGTTGCCCGCTAGCTGGCTGATCTGGTGCCAGGACTTCTCCAAGTCGAGCGCTGGACCATTTCCTTGGCAAAGAATTTGATCTATGCAGAAGAGGAGGAGGAGGAGGAGGAGGAGGGCGCGAGGGACACCTGCCTGCTCCCCGGCTGGAAGGTGATTTGGGGGCCATAGGTAAGAAAAAGGAGGCTCCCCAGGTGGGCGCAGGAAGGACGAGACAAAAGAGGAAGTTCCTGGCAAAATTAGACCCCCCCCCCCCCCAATCACCCCTTTCTCTGGTTTTGTTTGCCTGTTTTCTTCTTATAACGGTGAATGACAATGGCTGTGTTGCTGTCTCTCATGCTTCCGCTGTAGGCTGTGTAGTATTTTCAGTTTTTTTCCCGGTATTTCAGTTGTTCTGTGTGAAAGGGTTGTTATGACAGCAGGTTCTTAACTCCCCCCCCCCCAATCCACCTGCTTTGTATATAGCATCACTAGTGATGTGAGGAATAGAGCTTGCTGAGCCTGTTGCTCAAGTCATTCTGCAATCTTTGAACTGTAATTTGTGTGTGTTTGTGTATAGAGAAGACATGGGCAAACTTTGGCCCTCCAGGTGTTTTGGACTTCAACTCCACAATTCCTAAAGCCAGTAGGCTGTTAGGAATTCTGGGAGTTGAAGTCCAAAACACCTGAAGAGCTGAAGTTTGCCCATGCCTGCTCTAAGGGGTGCATCTACATTCTCTCTCACTCTCTCTCTCTCTCTCTCTCTCTATATATATATATATATATACACACACACACATATACTAGCTATCCCCTGCCACACATTGCTGTGGCCCAGTCTGTGTATATGTGTTTTGTGTGTATATATATTTGTGTATATGTGTGTTTGCATATATGTGGTTTTGTTCATGAGTTATAATGTAATGTTTGGTTATTGGCTTTTTAAGTCTCTTCTGCTGTGTTTTTCAGTGTTTTAATGAGTGATGGTCACTCGTTCACCTGATATGTGTATTGTGTCCAAATTTGGTGTCAATTCGTCCAGTGGTTTTTGAGTTATGTTAGTCCCACAAATGAATGAATGAATGGATGAATGAATGAATGAATGAATGAATGAATGAATGAATATATATATATATATATATATATATATATATATTGATGCACACATACTTGAATCATAGAATCATAGAGTTGGGGGAGATCTCATGGGCCATCCAGTCCAATCCCCTACCAAGAAGCAGGAAAATCACATGCAAAGCACCCCCGATGCTTTTAACAGGCTGGATGGCCATCCAGCCTGTTTAAAGCCTCCAAAGAATGATCCTCTACCACACTCCAGGGAAGAGAGTTCCACTGCTGAACAGCTCTCACAGCACCCCCGACAGATGGCCATCCAGCCTCTGTTTAAAAGTCTCCAAAGAAGGATCCTCCACCACACTCCAGGGAAGAGAGTTCCACTGCTGAACAGCTCTCACAGTTAGGAAGTTCTTCCTCACGTTCAGGTGGAATCTCCTTTCCTGTAATTTGAAGCCATTGTTCCATGTCCTAGTCTCTAGGGCAATAGAAAACAAGACTGCTCCCTCCTCCCTATTTTTTTTTCATGACAGGAGCAACTTGAGAAACTGCAAGTCACTTCTCGTGTGAAAGAACTGGCCGTCTGCAAGGACGTTGCCCAGGGGACGCCCGGATGTTTGGTGTTTTGCCATCCTTGTGGGAGGCTTCTCTCATGTCCCCACATGGGGAGCTGGAGCTGACAGAGTGAGTTCAACCCACTCTCCCCAGATTCAAATCGCTCACCTGTTGGTCAGCACTCCTGCTGGTACAAGGGTTTAACCCATTGCTCCACCTGGGGCTTCTCCCTATGACTTCACCTCGCATATTTATACATGCCTATTATGTCTCCTCTCAGCCTTCTTTCCTGCAAACTAAACATGCCCAGCTCTTTAAGCTGCTTTTCATAGGGCTTCTTCTCTAGACCCTTGATCATTTTAGTCGCCCTCCTCTGGACACATTCCAGCTTGTCAATATCTCCCTTCAATTGCACTGCTCAGAATTGGACACAGTTTTCCAGGTGTGGTCTGAACAGGGCAGAATAGACAGAATAGACTTCTCTGGATCTAGACATTATACTCTTATTTATGCAAGCCAAAATCCCATTAGCACCAATGTTTATATCCCTTATGTGTATTTTATCTCTGCTCTGCATACCTAGACATATGTATACACACATTTTGAAGTTGCAAAGATGACAAAGAGGTCTTCCATTTAGGGTGATATAGCACGTCTATATAGTATTATATAGCACGTCTCCTTGTGTCTCTGTGTGAGATATGTGTGTGTTGAAGAGTTTTGCAGGTTTAGTGCAGTGTCTTGTTCAATTTGTTCAAAATCAAGGTTGCACTGATTGTTTTGAAACTACGGACTTCTGATAACTCTTAGGTCATAAAAATGCAGGTAATAATATTCAGGAATAGCTCAAAGATTTAAAACTATTGGTTGCATGGGTTGTTATGGAGATACCTCAGTCT